GTCGGCATGACATCAGAGCCAGGCGAACCGCACTCGGACACATTTCTAACCGGCGTGCATCTCGCGCTGCTCACCGGTGTTTGGTTCTGCGCAGATTTTGCTCATCTCAAACAAGCCTAATAATGTACTGTTGCTTTAAATGATATCACATAGCGGAAGTGACATCATTGGAGCTTGGTGTTCACCAAGAACAAAAGCAGGCATGCACTGACATTCCTCTACATTCTTTATTTGTTGATTTTTCAAATTAAGCAGGTCCTGTCAAGATTAAACCAACTGTCACTCAAAATAGATAGAATGCATGTATTTACCTTAACAAAAATTATTAATGAATATTTGATAAAAGTTTCAGGCTTCCTTATTAAGAGTAAAAAGGGCTGCTTCAAATGTACTTATCTACTTTATAGACCTTATAGACACCTTATAGACCTATAACATTTTGCAGCACATGACTCGCCAGTTCTTTTCTTTGTTTTTCTAACCCATTATAGCAGTCAGCATCATGTGCCATATATCATTGTAAACAGGAGAACTTGGTTTCAATCTACCTCATTTAAATTCCCAATTTTAGCTACATTTATTTCATCTTAGAATGGATAAATATATCAGATTTAAGAAAAACAGCAGTATTTCTCCCTTTTTTTTCTTTTTTACTCAATTTTTTTTTTACTTTAGAAATCTTTACTTGGATATTTTATATTTCCAGATGACATTTTGTCTACAGGTAACAATCCCTAAGCAAGTTGCCATTTATTACAACATTATCATAGGCAATATTCTGTAAAAAAGCTGGTGTTTTTTTAAATTAATGTCAATATTGATGTGTCCAAAAAAAAAAAAAAGGAAACATTGTAATAATAATAGAACACTGAGGCAAAAGTTACTTCTGAGAGGCTATGTGTGTGTGTTCAATCTGAACATGAACACACACAAATAGTGCAGCAAGTAGTAAACAATTATGAACATTGTCTTGTCCAACAAAAATACAAACAGTGCAAATGATTTTCACAACCTCTATAAGAAGTATTTGGGTTTCTTTGACGAATTAATGCTGATCAAAACTTGATGACACAATCACATTCACTACTCTGAATGTCCAAAAGCGAGGGGAAAAAAAAAACGTGATAGCACAATTAAAGCCGTGAATCTCCTCTTTAAATGAATTTTTAAAGCATACTTGGATTTGCGGTTCAAAAGTTATAAAACATTTAAGAACAATTATTTTAGGTTTTGCAGGCAGATGTATTAACGTTCAAGGCCATGTCTTCTGCCTATGGCTATAGTTAACTATCTATGTTTAAAAGTGTGTATACTGGCAGGAGAAATAAAGCAAGGTATGGGTAGTTTTATCTTCCTCTCATATATTCACATAACGTGAAATTTTGGGTCAATGTGTGCACTTTTTCTTGTTATGCAAAAAGCTACACAATCCATATATATATATGAAGAGTTCAGATGCAAAAGCCTCAAAGTGCCATTTAAAATTTTCTTCTAGAATGATCATTTTTATCAAGCTTGTATATTTAAGTTCAGTAATTTCACTTAAATGGCAATTCATAGGTAATCTTCATTGTCATTTAAGTGAAATTACTGAACTTAAATATATAAGCTTGATAAAAATGAAAAAAAGAAAATTTCAAATGGCACTTAGAGGCTTTTGCATCTGAACTCTTCATATATATATATATATACATACACATATATATCAGACTACAATCAGACTACAGTTACCTTTTATCACATGATTACATGTTACATGTTGTGTAAATGATAAGCCAAAGCTCATAAAATGTTTTCCGTTTTCAGTTGAAGATTATGTTGTGTAAACTGTGTGATGGAGGCTTGAGGTGAAGCTGAGGGATCCAAAGGTCAAGGCAGAGCTGATGCCCAAACCCCACTGGAGGAGCCAAGGGACTGAAGGGAGACAGCGGAGACAAGGCAGAGGAACTGTATGGCTTTGCCAGTGGAGGAGGGAGAGGGAGGCCGGGACCATTTCACAACGAAGGAGACTTGGAGCTGGACTTATCTTGTGATAGTCTCGGCTTCAGACGTCACGCCCACGGACCATTGGGTGAACATCTGATGCATATGGCACACTTTTTTGAAAACACTTCAGGAGTTTCAAAGTCGCAATCTAATTGGTTGAATTCTATAGGACTTCCGAGAGATGTGTGTGTCGCGTTCTTTATCGGTCCACCTGGAAACAAATGTTTTGTTGTCAAAACCCCTCGTGGAAGAAAAATAAAAGTTGTTTAAAACTGTGATAGTTAATGCTAACCAGGATCAACTAAACGCTGGATTTTCAAAAGTATGTGAAGTTCGGGGCTCCATTGGTGCAGTAAACTTTCACAACTTTTCTGAATGTATAATTTATCAGATGCATGCCATGTCAGGGGTTACGTGTGGATAAATAAGAAATAACGTTAAAATAAAAAATAAGTTGAGAGATGCATTACGTTGAATGAACGACAATAACAGACATTTAATAAACACAAAGTGCACTAGCATACAGTACACATCACAACGTAACGCTAATACAAAACAATGAACTGAATATAGGGGATTATCACGCCGATACGTAGTACTTCCGTATTCTGTGACCTTTGTGCACTGCCACTTCCGTTGAATCACCGATCTCGCTGGCGAACTGATGAAGGACTACACTAAGTTTATTTATACGGCATCCCTGGTAAATTAGTCTGATTCACTAAAGTGCCGGCTGCAAACAAACGTGCTACCTTGTTTTATTTTAAAGTTTTAATCCACTTCTTCCTTATACTCAATTCAGTCGGGAATCCATGAAAACTTAAGTAGGGTTGGCGTTGTTGGTTCAACACATTCTCACCCCAAGGCGTCACCTTTGACCATGCTTCAATATTTGACGTTTTAGGCGCCCTTTAGCGTCACTTACATGACACGATCCTACGGCGTCATCTGACTGACGCTAAAGGAAAGCGTCAGTTAGAGGACGCGGCTAGGTTTAGGTATGGGGTGGGGGTAGGGTACACGCGATCCTAGGGCGTCATCTAAGTGACGCTAAAGGGTGCCTAAAGCGTCAGATATTGAAGTATGGTCAAATGCTTCCCAAGGCGTCAGTTGGGTGACGCCTTGGGGGTGAGAATGGGCTGGTTGGTTAGATTTACAAAGTGGAACAGAGAAGTGACATAAATAGCATTCGTCAACTGCGTCGGAAGTGGACATGCACAAAGTTGACAAATCCCGCCCATGAAACCCGGAAGCGTGATAATCCCATATTGGGTTTATGAAGGTGGCAATAAACGGAACAGGAAACAGGTGAGAACTAGTAATAAACCATGACAACTAATGTATGATTAGAACAAATAGTGACAAAGAAAACTAAAGATTTATAATAGTTTTTACGACTGCTGCTCGTCAGACTGTGTGAACAACATGATCCCGCTGTAAGCCATGTCACATTGTGGGATCTAGGCCTACCCAGCACTTAATTTGTACATCAGCTGAAGCTGTTGTTGAATTAATAGTATAAATGGAACATTGTGGCAACCCTATTATTTTGATCATGAATGATTGCTTTCATTATAGGAAAATATTAGTAATAAGAAATGTATTCAATATAATATTTAGCTGATCAATTACTGCTTTTTTGTTACTCTACAGATCTGTGAATCAAAAAATAAGCATACTTACTTTGCAAGTATGTGCCCTATGATCTAACCAAACAGATCTGACAGTTTGACTTAATAACATATGAACAATATGAATTACATGTGACTAATAATAATCACTCTCCTGAAAAGTCTATGAGCTGATGGTTCTAGAAAACTTTGCTATGTTTAAGATTACAAGTTAAGCACTGCAGGAGGTTTGGTAACATTATAGCCTCAAAGGTCGCAAATCTCTGCTTGACATAAATCGTCTCCACTATTGACTTGGAAATAAGAAGGATGAAGCCAGAGTTTATTCAACATAATAAGATAAACACAATGCCATGCTATTGAGGCTAGAATGTAATTGTCATATATTGACAGGAATAAGAAGGACTGTAATTATACACATATTGCTGTAACTGTATATTACATACTACACGTATTGAATATAACTGAAATTATCTCCCCTTCATCAGTATTACATAAGCACAGGGTTACTACAGAGCATTTCTATGTCAACAAATTCTAACAAATCACAAAAACTGCACCACCTTGTGGTAGGTCTTTTTAAAAGGAGACTTTATGTTAAATCAATGCTTGGTAGAAATGAGGACCTATATAAATGTTATTTTATATGAATGTACTGCTTAATTAGTACAGATACATACAGATTTTCCCCAGGCCTGTTAAAAAGTCAGTGACCGCACATTAAGCTGATTAGATGGTGTTTCCTATGCGTTCATCTCAAGCCTGAAATTCACACACACCACTTCCAAAGGACAGTCTCAAAAGACTTTATCCAGTAGTTTTCAAGTGCTTTCAAAATTAGAGGACTAAAAAGAATATGAAATGTACCTATTTTAAATATTTGAATTTATTAAAAATCTTTTTAAATAAAAATAACTGACCACTGGAGGATGACATGATGATTAAAACATTATGTCTTGCAAATACATCCAACATTGTTATTTCTTGCATATACATCCAACAATTTTCATTTAATGCTTGATGTCCCAATGTTTAGTCAATATACAATGCTCCATATATACAGAAGACAACATTCATAATCGCACTTATTGCCACTTCTTTAAATCTGTAGCCTACACAAACATTTTTTCCCCTTAATTCTGCAACATGAAAAAACAAATCAAAAGTTATCTAAAGTCTATAAGTCTGGGATTGCAGTAAATTGATTAATTAGATTATATTAAATGATATAGGCTACCACTGAATAACATTAAGCAATGCACTTAAATGTTTGCACATCATCCATTTGTCCTAGATGCACAGGTTAGCGCCTGCGCAATCAAACTACCTTGCCCTACTTCTGGACCAAGAGCCGTATATACCTGAGCGCATTCATCGCCCCCTCCTACTCGAGCTCTCATTGCAGTAGGAGGGTCCATGTGCACACAATCACGTCGCTACGCAAGTCTGTCTGAGTCCTCCGCTGTTTTTATTAGTCTTCAGTTGGGCGCCTTCAACAATCTAGCAGCAATGTGCACGTAAACAGAAAACTGTCGACAGGACGTTTCGGTGAAGTCGCTGTCGACCGTTGTACGCGTACAGTGCGCTGTCGTTAAGGATCTCGCGTCATGCGCGCGGCAGTGTGCGGTGCGTTCAGCTGTCACAACTGGAACTAGTATGCAAGCAGTCGCAACACTGGGAATACTTCTAAACACAACTTAACGGCACTGTTTAGTGCCATTTTCTCAGTTTTGTCCATTGGATTACTTGTGGCCAGCAGAAAAGATAACTGTCAAAATTGGATGTTATAACTACGGTAAGATGTCTATTATAGCTCAATGAAGAACAAACCAGTACTGTATGTAGCCTAACTACTGCAAATGCAGACGCGTTTGTCTAAAACTTGTCTAAAACTTGATGTTTAACTTAATTGACAGGATCTCTGTGCTGTGCATGAGGTGAAAATAAACATATAAATAACAATTATGCACTTATCAATGTAACCTGTACAAATATCCTTTGCATCAAATGTTTGACGTTTTCTCGGCTAAACTAAATTCACAGCCGACTGGATTTAGGCAAGTGAATACTTTTTCATCAGTTTCGTTTAAGCTAACGCAATATCACATATGAAATCAAGCCATAGCCAATACAAAATACGGTATTGCTTGTTATATCAAAGCTCATCATGGTCTCTTTCGCTCCGTCGACAAGTTCTTCATATGATTCATTTCCTTTCACGTTAACATCATCTTATAACTGTAGGCGTGTACTAAAGTACACAGAGTTGAGCGAAACTGAAGTCAAGGGGCACAATAATTGCCAGTGATGTTCTGTCTGGTTAGACAGTGAGAACAGCGGCGAGTAAAATGTATTCTTGTGAAAATGCACGCAAACAATAATAATACTTTGCATGATTGATTCACGTGACGTCATTTGATGAATAAAGTGCATCGCAACGATATTTAATCAGGAGTTATTTTGCAAAAGAATCAACTGCGTCACACGCATCATTCTGGAGGTCGCTAAGCTTTGCAACGCAGCATGAATTATGACGCGTCCGAACTAACACGTAAAGTTTTTATAGGCTACACATAGAGCAAAGTTCGTAAATTAAATTCTACAAAGAATGTCGCAGCAGTTTTGTGGAGACAAAGCTTATAAATATAAAGACTGACAGAGCGACGGGACCAATCCGTGAGTGGGGTGATAAACTCTTGGCGACAGTGTGTCTGCTTCTGTCCAATGGTTGTCCGCTTGAGCACGGTATCGTGGGAAGAAAGACGATAGGGAGGGGGAACAAAACATAAACAAAGAACTACGTCAAACGTTTAAAGCAACATTGTCATTACCATTTGACATTGCTTTTAAAAGTGCGATTAAAGTAACTGCATCTCGCTAGAGAAGAGCTAAGACTACTTCTGACCGGTATAAATGGTGAACTAAGCCTAGTAGGCCTACTGTACATGAATGACTGTTTAAACTCGCAGCGGTCGGCTCGGCTTTCTCCTCTTTGTGCTGTGTAACAGGATGGGAAATTAACTTTTTTTTGTTGAAAATTTTGTGCACACCATTTTAATATTATTTATTCATTCATTTATTTAATCTAAAACAACTCATTATATGTGTTAGGGGACATTACATGTGTCTTGACAGCTATTGTTGCTTGTTTTTAGATTCAAACCAGTTATTTTTTGCATTCACACTGTCTCAGTCCACTATTGCTTTTTTTTGGAGGTATGTTTAGGATGCCACCACCCAGACAGATCACTTAAGGGTGCATTTGGAATTTCAGAAAGTGCAAACATTTGTCATTTCACCAACTAAATCTAACACTGCTAAAATGTACTTGTGTTGTAGGCCTATCGTTAACATCTGAGTAACAAAATGAGTCTCTTTGTTTTTAAAACATACCGAATGTATAATATAATGAAGATAAATAATTTTTATACCATTCTACTTTTCTAGACATGAATAAACAAATAATAATAATAATACAATTCAGAAACAAAGAATTTGTGGAGTAACATTTTTATTAATTTGACCTGATCTTTATGTTGATAATATCATCCCTCTTACATCCCTCCTTTTAGCAGGTAAAGGACCTTTTAAGGTGCAGACTGATAGCAGCTGAAGTTAGAGGGGGCAGCAAAGTAAAGCACAGAGGGTTGCTGAGAAAAGTTAGGCTACATGCTAAGTGGTCACAATTCATATTCAATGAGATGGGTGAGTGAATCCCATGAAGCTACCTTGTAGGGCTGCACGATTAATTGAATTTTAATCAGAATAACGATGTTGGCTTCACACGATCAAATTCGTGCGATCAAGCGATATTTAAAATGTGTCATTCTGTTATTCCCACAGAATGCTCTGTATCAAAGTTGTTTTTTGTTTGTTTTTTTGCAAAGCCAATCTAGCGCTCCGTAAACCACTGTCTGATCACGTGACTCCATGATCCCCAACAGATAGCACACGTATGTCTGCAAGATGTCTGTTAAAGATCACTTCATCTGGAAATCATCTGCTGTTTACTAACAAATGATAGACATCTGTAAGATGTCAGTTTAACATGCATTCTAAACTATTACATCTTTAAGACATCTAAATATCTATTTGACATTTGACAGGAAACGTCCTATAGATGTATTGCAGATGAGCAAACACTCTAAAAAATACGCCTTCCAGATGTAAACATGCACATCAAATAGACGTCTCTGTGATGTATGTGTGCTCTGTGCTATCTCGCACCTGCGCGAGAGAGACCGAGTGTGTCTGCGTGCTCGAAAGTGCACGAGAGATAGCGAGTGTCTGCGTGCGAGAGAGACAGGCAGAGTGACAGTGCGCGTGAGAGACCGAGTGTGAGTATTAGTAAATTACATTAATAAATTGGCAAATACTACATAGTAATATAATTACTATGTAAGAGGCATGAAAGTTAGATTAATGGACTCCAATAATCAGTACTACAAACGTCTTGTTTTGAACTATTGTTTAATAAATAGAAATAATTTGAGCACATGAACTTCCATATGGAGGACTAAATAGATTAAATTTATGCAATAAGACTTCACAACTAATCCCTGACACTGTACACAACATTTCTTTATCGTCAAATCTGAATTTCATCCATTAATCAAACTTCCATAATGGATAGTTCTGCCTTGACATGTTCTCATTTGGTAACATTCTGTTATGGAATGTTTTTTTTTTTTTAATGTTTTTTGTTGATTGTATATTTTGCGTGTTTTATTCACGTCCATTATGCAGGTACAATGCAAGTTTATATTTTGCTTCCTAAAATATATTTACACAACGTAAAATGTAAAATAGGGCCCTGTTGAAGTTTTGCTGCATTTTCTTTATTGTTTTATTTATTTTTATTTATTCTTTAAGGAGATGCACTGAAATTTGGCCAATAAGAGGATCTATTTTATTTTGATTCACATAATTGTATATTAGCAGGAATAGCACAATGTGGATGTGAAAGCAGTTATAATTAGCTTATGTGACAATACAATTTGTTTTGGTTAAAATCAACAAATAATTAATCGTGATCTCAATATTGATCAAAATAATTGTGATTTTCATTTTGGCCCAAATCGTGCAGCCCAATGAAGAGCGTTGCATCTGATGTCTGCGGAGGCAGTGCCAGGATCCAGCACTGCTAAAAGAGTTTCATTAGTTAATTTACAGATTTACTCATTTTGTGGATTCACACAGCGTGGTGGTGAAAACATAGTAAACCACATGGGAAATCTAAAATAAATTTGTCAAATAGAAAACATTTCAGGTTGGGGATTGTGGTTGGGGTTGACCATGGATTGAAGGAGACAGCATGGCCCCCGCATTTAGGAAGAAGAGGGCAATTTTACAAATAAGCAAAAAGTGGACCATTTAAATCCAAGGATAGAAATTGATCATGAAAAACAAAAACAATGAATGTATTTGGTGAAAAAAATAATATGAATAAGAAAAATGTACCATTTGATATTTTTAAAGCCCAGTGAATCCTATAAATAAAAGATACATTTCTTTGTAATCACAATATGCAAAGATTTATTTATTGTAGGATGTCTATAATGCATTTTCCCAAAAATATTCAAACTAAACCTATAATGATTTTGTGTGCTATTTGGTTTGAAAGTCTAACTAATAAGATTTCTCTGTACTAATCAAAACATTGCCATTTTGACTGCAAGGTCTAAATATCTCCAATTTATTGGCCCATTAGGTTTATCAAATGGTCCAGGTATGGAGACTAAAAGATACCAAAGTTACTCCGAAGGGGCAACTCCAGAAAATAAATGGGCACAGATGCCAAACACCATGGAGTATTGCTGTTCTGCAGAAGAGAGTTTAACAAACAGTGATGTGCTCATGGATATTGTAAACTCGAGCAATGCCCCTAATGCGCCGTCTGCCTGCAAGGACAACAACTTTAAGACTACCCAGACAACAGTGCTTAGAGTTAACCAGAATCAACCATTTCCCTCCTTCAACAACTCCTTCAACAACCGCAAGTCAGAAACAGATTCAAAGGAGCTCTCCAAAACGGTTGCTGAGTCTATGGGTTTGTACATGAATGCTGCCAGGGAGGCAGATTTTGGCTTTGCCCAACATGGTACTGTGGGTGGGCAGGGTAGCCCAGGGAAACTGTTTCCTCTTTGTGGGAAAGCAATTGAAGACAGCCAGTCCAGAACAACTGGGAGCCCAAAGATGAAAGCTCCCCCAGCTTCATTCCCACCTGGGTCCCAACAAACCAATGATGGCCCTCAGGATTGTGCTGTAGTCTCTGGCTCAGTGCCCTCTGCAATGACCACCGTTCTTTCTCGCAGCACTGATGGGTCTGGCCCCATGTCTAGTCCTACAGGACACAACATGGTGTCGTCCACTACCAGCCCCACCTACTTTGATTCTGACTGTCCGTCGTTGGCTTCTGCCAGCACCAACTTGACCCAAGGTCACCACACCAGCCCCAACACCTGTAGCCCTGCAAAATCCAGCATGGTGGGGTCACCTCCACTGGCTAGTCCACTCAGTGTTATGAAGTCTCCGGTTTCCAGCCCTCATAGTATAGGTAGTGTGAGGTCACCACTTTCATGTAACACCAATATGAGATCATCTGTCTCAAGTCCAACAACAAATGGAGGCAATACCTGTAACATTAGACCATCCATCTCCAGTCCGCCCACTGTTGGCAGCATGGCCATGTCCAGTCCCAGGAACTCATCAAGGGGATTCTCTGTCTCTAGCCCTTCCAGTGGATTGGGCCTAGTGCAAAATGATGCCAACAGCCCTGAGAGCCAAGAGCATGACTTCAAGGGATTCGAGTTTCCGAAGGTAGAGAACGTGGATGGGGAAATATTTAACATCGGATTGGATGCTATGGGAGTGGCCAAATACATCAAAAATGAACCTGGGACTGATTACAGGAGCATGTGCCTAGGCAGCAGCAAGAGCGCTATGCCACACTCTCCATTTGTGACTCAAATTAAGACGGAGCCAAACAGAGAGGTAACTTGTTCGAACCTCCATTTTGTTGAGCCGCAACACTCTCTGGGCTGCTTTCCTTCTGCAGAGACCACATACTTGTCTTTGAGGGATAATATTGACGAATATAGTCTTTCTGGGATCTTGGGACCTCCTGTTTCTTCTCTTAATGGCAACTATGAACCTGGTGTGTTTCCTAACAATAGCCTGCCCAAGGGGATTAAACAGGAAACCAATGATGGCAGCTATTACCAAGAGAATAATAATGTGCCCACGTCGGCTATTGTTGGTGTTAATTCAGGTGGACATTCATTTCATTACCAGATCGGAGCGCAAGGAACAATGTCGTTTTCACGCCACAATTTGAGAGACCAGACGAACCCCTTGTTGAATCTAATTTCTCCAGTTACTGGATTAATGGAGACGTGGAAAACTCGCCCAGGGTTGTCACAGGGGCCTCTCTCTGTCAGGGGGGATGGCTATCCAGGCCCAGTCTGCCTTACAGAAAACATGGAAAGGTAAGACACAAGCTTGTCTTTTATTATTGTTTTGCCACAAGATGTTGAGGAAGTGCTTAAAACATTTTGTCTTGTGTTTTCTTGTTCTCAAAAACATTCTTGTTCTCAAAAACAAATTTTGTCTTGTGTTTTTTTTTTTTTTTTTTTCACATTTGCATTTGAAACATCCTTTTTTTCCTAATGGGGAAGACTTGCCACTTTTGTGATGCACTAAGTCATCAACATGTGATCTCAAACCAACATTATTAGGTTAGACAATGAGATTATTTGTAGAAGCAAAGTGTTCTACTAATATCCGCTATAGGAGGGAAGCAAAGTTCCTTCTTATCAGTAATTGTGAACATTAACATAAGATATTGTGTTTTTATCAGAAAGCCCTGGTAGATATTGTGCAATGAAATATATCTTGTTATTGAGTCCAGTCATTATGCAGCAGCATCATACATAATTAATTGTAGGTCAAGTACCTTTCTCTAAAAAAACAATGATAAGCAGTTTTTATGAAAGGCTCTTAAACAGTGGGAGATATCGAAGAAGACAGAAATGTGATGTTAATGATTTGAGACAAGGAACTGATTGATTTTAAGCCAGTGATTAATGCTCAAATAAAAATAACTGGATATGTAGCGTACAATGACTATTAGGGAGAAACTTTGAAACTGAGATTGTGACCTTGTTCACTATAGCCATTGCAATATGAATGTTGAATGGGGTGTGCACGGATATTCGAATGTGCACGAATATTCCAAAAAATGTTGAGACATATACATGAATATTCGATCTGTAATTATTATTTGAAAATAAAATACTAATCGAATTGTATAAGTTGCTTTATTGTAAATGCAGTGATCCATGATAAATCCAAAGCACTAACTCACAATTATAATTAAATGCACTGGGTGGCGCTGTGGAGCGTGTTTAACAAGTTGTTTGGATTCGATCACATAATGTTGTCGTCTGCCTCGCGAAGTTTGGAATTAGGCTACTCAAAGGAAAATTAACTTACTAAATGATCTTACAAAATGGGAATTACTTTTAATAAAATTAATTAATGAATCTGAGTTATAATATCAGCACCATGAGAAATCACATGAAATCCAAACACCAGTTGACAGTAAAACAGGAAAGAAAGCAGTTTATAACTGCTTCACGACTGCAGGTAAAGCACAGCTGTACCCCAAGTGATCCGAGATGATAACTTATCTCATAGCTTTTAATGATTTTGAGACATATAATATGCTTCCTTTAAATTTCGTTGAGGGTGACAGGTTTAAGAACAGAAAACACAAAGAGCTGTCAGAAACTTCACTTAGAACACCGTTATCTTTGTCTCTGCAATGTCTGTCAGCACAGCATGTTTTCTCACTCGAGCATGTGGTGAAATAAATAAATGGTGACAAAAACGTAAAAAAAATTAAAAACCCTTAAACTTAAAAACGAATGTATTTTTCGTTAAACACCATTTAAAGGTGCTATATTTAACTTTTCTACTAAAATTAATTCTCTTTTATTGCCTGTGTGTTAAGAGGTTGTAATCACACATTACAATGATCCACCTGTCTTGGATTTTGCTATTACCACTGAAGGCCAGTATTCCTATTTCTACGTGAAGTCTCCTGGTTGTATTTTCTGTGAAATCCATCGGATGTGGTGTGCATTCGGGCTCCTAAGCCGAGCAGCACTATTACCATAGCTTAACCTAATTCAGAGTATGACGACAATACTACAGGTGGAAAGTTACGCAGATGTCACGGTTCCCTTCAGACTCCACGGTTTAGTACGATTTCGATAAAATGGAGTGAAAAGCAAAACAGAAATATAGAAGGCATTTTTATAAATTTCTTAAACCTTGTATTTTTTAAATAAGTTTTAATAATAAAGGCGTAGAACCAATTTATTTATGGAAACAAAATCTCTCTGGTTCTACGTGATTCACGTAAATTACCCGATTGACCAATAAAACGGCGATTTTCGACGAAAAGTGACACGTTTGCAGGTCTGCTTATGCTAGACTACATGCCTGGCTAAATGCAGTCAATGTAACGTTGTCATGGTACGAGCATGGAGCATTAGTTCAACGTCAAGCTAATAAAAGTAGCCTATTGTAACGTTGCAGTGGGAGTTTACATGAGTTTACAGCATGTTGTATGATGCTTTCTCTGGTGTGTTGAAAGTCTCAGTGTGGCCTTGTACCATGAGTGCTCGCTCTTGTAAAAATTGGTTGCAATCTGAAACATCACCAATAGAGGCCACTAAAAAATACATATTGCACCTTTAAATAAACTAATATTCAAATATTCGGTTTTTATGAGCCCGAATATTCGAATGCAATATTTTCGAAAAATGCCCATCCCTGAGGCCTTTAGGAAATGCTCACCAGTTACTGAAGTCATAAATGTTTGCTTACCAGACTGTATATTATCTGGTTGCATAATTTCTTTAACAAGCTTGCAAAGTGCAGGAAGCCCTAAACAGTTCTAATCTATAAAGCATACCCATCTGACAGGCAAAACTTTTATACGAGTCAGATGTTTACTGAGTTAACTGAGTGATGCATTAAACCCCCTTTTCAGAATGTGTTCATTTGATGCTATTCTGAGACGAGGCAATTACAGCTAGCCAAGCTCTAGCAGTATAGCTAATGATTTTCACCCCTTCCCAGATGTCCTCTGAAACAGTCAGCCAAGCACTCGTTCAAAATCGTTTTTTTTTTTTTTTTTTTGCCATGCTAATGATATCAGGAAATATGTAACGCTAAGTTGGCTAATGAGATAAAGTAAATGTCAGTTGTCAATATAGGTTTGTGGCCAGTGGTGGAATGTAACGAAGTACAAATACTTCGTTACTTTACTTAAGTACATTTTTCACGTATCTTTACTTTACTTAAGTACAATAAATAGTGCCTACTTTTTACTTTTACTTCGTTACATTTTGCAGCAATTATTTTACTTTCTACTCCACTACATTTCTACAACTTCTGTTACATTTTCGTTACATTTTCTGATCAGTTTTTCCCCTGCCAAAACGTAATCTGACCGTCCGTTCGTTGCACGTTTGTCTCACCAGTGACGTTTGGTTACCATAGATACAGTATATCAACCCGGTCACACTAAATGTGTCTCACACGCAGTGTGTTTATCGTGCAACTCATACGCGAAAATTTTTTTTACGTGCATAGGAAACACACCGTGTGTAAGGTTAGGATTATGGCAAGCCAAGAGGTTCAGAATTACACCATAAATTCATCTCGTTTACTGCCAAACATTTTAGTTATTAACATATAGTAAGGATGATGTGTATTGCCTAATTGCAAGCTTGTTTCAGAAATGGTGACATTTTTTTCCATCATTATTGAACATCATTATAGAGCATCATCATATAGAGTAGGCTATTAGGTTGAATGAGTTAGAATTAAATGTTTTATTAATCATTAGAAAATAGACATTAAGAGAATAAATTGTTATGCAAGTACTTTTACTTTTAATACTTAAAGTACATTTAAAATAAAGTACTTTTTACTTTTTACTTAAGTATGGTTGTCATTGTGTTACTTCTACTTTTACTAAAGTAAATATTTATCTGGGTATTTGTACTTTTACTTAAGTACTGAGATTCAGTACTTCCTCCACCACTGTTTGTGGCTTTCTGTCATGTATTTTTCAGCTAAAGAGCTTTAACTTTAATAACTTAAAGGTAACTTCCATAATTCATTTAAAGAGGTCATTTTTTTTAAAGTCTGTTTACTTAAGAGTGCAGATTCAAGCTGAGCTCACCACTGTAGCACCATCTATTATGGAGCAGTCCCTTCAGACTGGCTACTAGGCTGCAGTGAATTATTTAAGTTTAAGATTTACATAGCACATATCTTACTGTCTTAGTGCTATTTACAGTTCTTTGTGTGTATATATATATATATATATATATATTGGTTACAGGAGGTGTGGTCAAGATAAACTAAAAAGAAAAGCATTTTAAAGCATGTTTCAATACAGGTTAATATTAATTAATACATTTGTTAATTTATGTTACTTTCATAATAAATGATTTTAGTTTAAAACATTGAATTAATACAACTTTAAATGTAAATATTAACATGAACAAAGATTAATAATCTTTTCCTGTTCAAAAGTTTGGGGTTGGTAATATTTTTAAATCTTTCTGAAAGAAGACTTATACGCACCAAAGTTGCGTTTATTTAATAAATAAATAAAAATGTAATATTGTGACATATTTTTACCATTTTAAATAACTTATTTAAACAGTTAAAGTTCCAATACCTCTGTTATTTTCTTGATAGCATAAGTAATGATGAACAAAGCATCAGCATTAAGTGTAACTGGAACATGAATTTACATAAAATGAAAAAAAAAATAAAATAAAAAGTGAGGTTTTTGCCGCCTCATTTCAGAACACCACTGCACGCCACTGATCAAGAAAAACCCATTTTTATTTTTTACCCAAAACCTTGACATATATATTGCCTTTGAGTATAGCAACATTTAGAAACGTTCTCATTTGGTTCAATGGTTCCATGCCAACACATTCTCACCCCAAGGCGTCACCTTTGACCATGCTTCAATATGTGACGTTTTAGGCGACGTTTTAGGTTTAGGTCTGGGGTGGGGGTAGGGTACACGTGATCCAGGGCGTCATCTAACTGACGCTAAAGGGAGCCTAAAGCGTCAGATATTGAAGCATGGTCAAATGCTTCCCAAGGCGTCAGTTAGGTGACGCCTTGGGAGTGAGAATGGGCTGTCCATGCTGTCACCAAGTTTAAATCAATAACTAAATGAGTGTGTGACAGAGGTGAGAGGCACTGATCTAAAAACTTGTAACTGAAAGGTTAATATTCAGGTTCTTGAGGGATGTCAGTCAATTAAGAGAAAAAAGGACTACAGATATACAGATAACGATATAGATAGTTATGAAAGATACAATGATACAGCAGTTTACTTTGAAGGCAACCTATATAGAGGGAGTCACATCACTGCTGACAGGAT